GCCGAGGGCCGCGGCGCGTGTGCCGCGCTTTGCGTAATCTTGCTCTACGCCGGGGAGATACGCTACGCCCCGCCAGGCTCAACAGCACACCACACACACGTCCGGCCGGATGATAGCTGGCGCACAAATTAAACGCAATCTCGACCAATTTTCCAACCGGGTCTTTACTACGGCCAGAGAGAGCCCTATACATAGATCGCCGCCGACCATCGCGCGCGGAGCAGCTCACGGCGCGGCGAGGCGTGGCGAGGCCAGCTCCAATCATGATGGCACCCCGCCCGCCCCCTCCTGGACAGTAATGCACCCCCGAGCACGACCCGGCTATCGCAGCGCGCGAGGATTTGGCGCCGCCCAATAACAAAGCCGCGGCCGTCGATAGGAGAAGCGGAACACGATCAGCTCCGTGAGTCACACGACGCGGGGCGTACCCGCGTCGCACCGGTCGGCCCAGTGTGGCGAAAAACCACCACAAAAGACAAGAAGGCACCGCCGAGAGCGTTGAACCGTTTCGAAACGAAATGCGACGACTGCAACAGAAGCGGGGCAGCGCGCATAAAAGAAGCGCACAGCGCAAAAGGCAGGCGCGGCGGCGGCGCTCTGCCCGAATCAGCAACAACATTCTCGACGAGGCAGCGCCAACACCTGGCGGGGCGGGACGGGGCGGGGCGGCGGGGAGACGAGGTTCAAGAGCCAGCAGTGTAAATATCCACGACGTCCCGAGCGATTCCCCGGCGGCGGCGGGGACAGGACGAGTCAGCCCGGCCGATAACGCAGACAGCAAAAGGACCCTCGACCCTCCCCGCCGCCGCCCCGCCCTCGTCGGGAATGTCAGCGCGAGGCCGGCGGCGGCAGCGGTCGAGCTGGGCGACATCAAGACGGCCCACTGATTCACTCAATTTCGCCTTAAAAGCGCGTCTATTTCCAGCGCACAGGCTAATCCCCCGAGTCGGCTCCTGGGAACGAGGCGGCGGAGGCGGCGACCTCCTCCTCTGCGGCGGCCGGGCCGACGGCGTCCTCGCTAGTCCGAGCCGTGCGACGACGTGCCCGTTGTCGTGCCGTCCGGGAGGAGGAGGAAATCCTTTTCGGGCCTCCGCTGTACACTTTACGAGCCGGCGGGCAGCGCGGCACGGCGCGGCGGGGCGGAGTGTGACCGCGTCATGCGCACGCACATGACACCGTGAGAGAGACAGATGTCGCCCGTCGGCACACACGTGTTGTGAGTCCCGAGCGACCCGAGACAACGGCGGAGAGCAGGTTCGCGATTTTAAGGGATATGTAGCTTTCTGGTCCGTCTACTGTTTGGTAGTTTTTCCCCCACGGAAAGCAGATTGTGCTTGTGTGTCGGTTATAGTCCCCGGCTGCGATAACATTGCACAACGCGGCCCAACACGCAATGCAGCACGGGGCGCCCGCCCGCCCAGGACCAGGTAGCGAGGCTCACAGGCTCACTGCGCCCGCCAGGCTGCCCGGGCTACCCCGTGGTTAGGCCTACGTGGGTGGCCGAGTCAGACCTAGACCTGAGTGGTCCAACCTCACTCTGGCTGGCGGACGAAACGCGCGCGCGCGCGCACAAGCACACAGACACACACAACTCGACGGGGCCCCACGGTAGCAAGAGAACGCACTGCAGACGACACACGCGATGTCGTGAAGCAGCAGAGACGACGGCCACGAGACTATGGAGCTGCTTGGCGGTCAGGGGCACATCTCAGGCACTGGTCCAAGGTCACTATCGATTTTCCGCAGCAGCCCCCGAAAGAGTGGAGGGGGAGCAGATGATGGGGTGCTGTGCGAGCGATGGGTGTGCTGCTCATGGCGCCTCGTTTTCGAACCTCCGCGCGAAATCTCGCCCGCGTCGCGCGCGCTCCCGCACCAAGGTGAAGGAACACGATAAGTCATTCGATAGGGGCTTAACTGCCGAGCCGTTGGGCTTTAAAGCCCCTTAAGCCGTCCAGAAGCTTGCGGGCCCTACGAGGGGAAGGTCAGGGGCGCGAGAGCCGCTGCTGATCGGCTCACTCGCTGCGGTGGAGCAGGACCGACCTGGCTGGTTCCGCCCCTTGCCCCCATCCCCCGCGGCGACCAACCCCCGATGGACTTCCGCCCGGAACCAACCCCCGCCTCGCCACCCTCCCCCTCCCTCCCTCCCGGCTGGCATTACAGAGCTGTCATGCAATACGCCCCTTTTAGGGGGAGTGCAGACGGAGGGTGCTGCTCGCCCAGCGGAAAATATATCTGGGCTCAGAGGCAAATAATGAGTATTACAGCCGAAACTGTCCGGAAAAGAAAAAGGGGAGGGGGGCTGTCAAAGGGTGCTGCTTGCCCAGCCCCAAATGACTACTACTACAACCGAACTGGCCGCGAACGAGAAGCTCCCCCGTCCAGCGAGGCAAAACAAGACTGGGGTTCACTAAGGGGCGCACCCACCGAACGGTTAATCACCTTCGGGAAGGTGCCCCCCCCCCCCTCCCTAATGCATCTTCTGCTCACCCTTCTACTTATTGTGCACGCCCTTCCCCATGCTATGCACTCGCGCACAGACTGCGCCCGCCCACGTGCGGCGGGCTGCACGGACGGACACGCGGGCTGCAGGGACGGACCGACTGACGGACCGGCCTGCTGGAGCGGCCAGCAGAAACAGCTATACGTGCGCGGCGAGGGGCCGGCGGCGGCAGCGCGGCGGGGGGCTACACGGAGCAGCGGAGCGCGCACTCGCGGTGTCGCCGACTCACTGACTAACTCCTCGCGCCGCGCGCACCGAGGCCCGGGCCCCGCCCCGCCGCCGTCCCGCCAGCCCACTGCCGCACCGGGCGCTATTGGGGGGGGGGGGGGGGTACTGTACTTACAAGATGCCCCCCTCCGCCACCGCCCCCTTTACCCATGTGGTTGAGACGAACAAGTTGTCAGAGGCGTTCAATCTCATTAAGGTGTGAGCACGACGAAGATGATGAAAATGGCCCTACCGGCGCCCGGCGGGGCAGCACAAGAAAGAGTCTTCAAAACCGACCAAAACGTTTTGCTTAATCCTTTTGCAGGCGCAGCAGCAGGCGCCGCCGCAGAGAGCTGGGCGCTGACAATGCCGCAGGTAAATGGCGGCGGCGGTCCCGTGGGCAGCGGGCGTCGTTGTGACACGGTGCCGCCCCGCCCCGCCGCGCCCCGCCACGCCCGTACCGCGTACGCCCTCGTTAACACATTCAACTCGGCGGTGCTGCTGAATGCATCGACACGGACGGCACGCGATCCGTCAGGCCGTGACGGTAGCAAGCGCTGATGCAGCCGCGGCCTGCAGGGGGAGAGGGGAAAGAGAGCGGCACGGGCAACATCAGCTGATCAAAAGGGCCGCCGGCAACCACATGTATCGGGGGTGCGCGGGCACCCACCCGGGCGCCACCTCCGGGCAGGGCGCGGCGGGCACTTCCGCCACTTCCACGACGTGAAGGTGGGGCCGCTGACAGGTCAACCCCTCCCCCCCCCCGGTGACATCATGCGGCTCGGCCACCACAATCATAATGAAACCCGCGGTGCTTTGACTGCTGCCGTGCCGCGGCACAGCGGGCGGGGCGGGGCGGGGCGGGCTCTAATACCAGAAGTGGCTTCGTATTTGCGGCACAACGCGGACCGGCGGCAGCAGCAGCAACAGCCGACTGATGCCGCGGAAAGTTTGTTATTACCGGCGCATTTACACGGCGTTTGTCGTTCGTTCTTTAATGTCTTTTACAAAACAATTATAACAGCCTTGGGGGAATGCCGCATTCTTCTTTTTTTGTTGGTGTAGGCGGGGCGTGCCGCAGCTGCTCGCCGAGTTGTAGCCGACTGATAAGAAGGCAGGTGAGGTGGGGCGGCGCGGGGGGCGGCGGTGCTATCCGAAGCGCCACCAGGAGCCCCGCGGGCCGAGTCGGCTGCGCGCCGGTGGCTCGGCGGGTAGGCCGCTGCACCGCGACTGCACCGCGGCTGCACCGCGACTGCACCGGGCGCCCCGAGCAGCAGCAGCAGCACAGAGCGTCCATCACATACGTCGGCGCCGAACCGCTTTTCAGAAGGTGAGACGAGCCCGTTTGTTTGACCCTGGCCCCGCGCGGTCTCCGCCCCGACCTCTGCCTCGCTACCCCTGGCCATCCCCCTCAGAGCAGCGCGCGGCGACACGACCCTCTTTGTTTTGCCGGCTCTGATTTCTTGTTTTATTTCCTCGGGAGTGAGCGAGAAAGAGACAAAGCGATAGAACAAAATAAATGAAAAACAAACAAACGGTAAAGGGCGCGAGAGCATAGGCGGGAGGCCGGGTTTCCCGTCCTTTGCCAACCCTAGGCTCGCCAGGCCCGCGGAGTCCGCGGGCCAAGTTAATTGTGGTGCAGGGACACACACACACGCACGCACCGCGACGCCGGCCGGTAAAACAGAGGGAACAAAACAAAAAGTGAACGATCATCTCCTGTGCTGCTGCACTCCCTCGCTGCACTCACCGCCGGCACGCAGTACAGATGCACCAGCCAGATGACCAGCAGGAGCCCCATGGTGGAGGCCGCTCGCGCCGCACATCACCGACGCACTGACGCTGCTCTCCTCCTCCTCCTCCTCCAGGCCCTTCCCATCGCCGGCCGGCCCGGCCCGCCGCGGGTCGCGACGCGCCACGGCACTCGCACACGTGCCTCCCCGCCCGCGACCCGTCTAAGTTTAGCCCGCGACACACACACACAGACACACACACAGACGCAGCACCGCAGGACGCGAAGGGCCGACCAACGAGACGGGTGGCATCGCCATCAGGATCGAGCAAATTAGGATGAGAAGTGACACCACATTCGAGCAGAACAGTCCTTTACAGTTCCTCACAGATAGAGTGGTAGGAGCTTGCGTCTCCAACGTAATAAAACATGGACATGTAAAATTTGAATGAAGGAAAGATGTCGCTGGTTCTTCAAATTAATGAGCTGTTGATTAAGTATATGAGCTAAGCACATACAATGATGTCAGGACCTTAAATACAATATTGTTGGCAGACACTGACTTACTAGTATGATTATATCTAACAGCCTTACGTGTACATTCGGACTACACAGTTCATCATAAAAGCAAAATAACAGGTATAGATTTATTCTAGATTAAAAAATTAATTTTAAAGATTTGACAATATATATATAAATATATCTAGTTTATAGCAATTACAGTAGGATTAAGGTTCTAGTGTAAGTGTTGCATCAGACAGTTACGATAACAGACATGAAACAACGGGGACCTTAGTAGAAAATAAAACTAGGAAAATAAATTAATGAAGCTCTTACCTCTTTTGCTATTTGGTCAAGTGCCTGATCCTCCGCTGAGTGTTTAGTTGTTCCTCGCCTCCTGCCAACGGGTGTGCTTGCGTTCTCCATTGCTGGTCGCGCTGATCTCAGGCGCGCCCAGACATTTCAGCACTCTAAAAAGGAAAGGAAAAATAGTCATCACTAAATGCTAAAGGTATCAGAATCTTGTACAATTGATGGAAGTAAACATACACTTCATCTGAGTAAAATTAACATGTAATAATAGAAAGCAAGTCATGATCATAATTATGTAAAGTAAATAAATGAGAGATAAAGATTATCTTCTTTATCTTATCACAACACAAAGCAAGTCAAACAGAAAACATAACCTCCATAACGAAAAGAAAACTATACAAAAATGTAAGCTGACCCGCTTTTGGCCTAAGTTTAAAACCACAAAAATAATTCTACATAAATGATAAGCTCAAGTCCAAAGAGATTTAGTATGAATCATGATCTTAAGACAAATGACAAGGCTTAGAAAAAACAGCTGTGCCCTATCAGTGGACAGATAAGACTAGCTGGAATGTCCATTTTATCACTCAATTTTTCACATTATTCTTGAATGTCTGCATTACACCTTTTCAAATAGCTCATTTAGGCTCCGGACCGTGAAAACGAATTTCCACAACCGTTATCACTACAGGAATGTTCTATTTGACAGGTGTGAATTAGGTTATGTCCATGGTGCTCCAGTAAATGAGGATCCACTGAATTCGGCAGGGCCGGCATATAACATTAAAATAAAACGGATGGGGTAAATGTGCGATACACCGACCCACTATCCGGACCCCGAATCAGGCTCAGACGCCCAGGGAATCACAAATTGCGAAATGGTCCAGCGCAGAGCAGATCCTGGAGCAGTGGCTTGCTCCAGTGGGCGCTGTGCGGCTCCTCACTAATCGAGTACCTGGAGCTGCCAGGGGCGTCAACACCGAGCCTCGCCCACCGAGGACCTTCCGAGGACTGCCCTCCCTGCCACTGAGCCCTAGGCGTTAATCTAGGGCGCCCCTATGGGGTGCCCTTGCCGAAAACATGCAGCTGAACAGGAGCAGTCTGTCGCAGGGCACATCGGCAGCTGACCCAGGCAGGGCAGCCTAACCCCTTCGGCCCAGCATCCGACGCTGAGAAACGCCGCCAGGATCAAGGACCCAGACACGCTGGATTCGCCCGGCAACGTCACAAGAAAATAAATTTAATCTCAGCGACGGTCGACCTTCATTGGGAGGCCTAAAGTAGGCTTATCCTGGGTCCGAGCATCTCGAGCGGTGACCAAGGGTGAAAACAAATCCGCGCAGAACGGCAAGGAACACAGGCTCGGGCTCAACTCGATGTGTGCCACCTTAGAATGACTGCTTTCACAATCCAAACACAACTTATGCGGTTAATACACACTGTAAACACACGTACATGGGCTATTTTGCACTTTTTCTTCACATGTGAGCCATTTTTTTCCTGCGATTGACCACCAGCGCTTACTTGCGGGACGGTGGCCGTTTTTCAAACTATGAGAATTCTAACCTCTCCGTCTTGTACGGCCACATATCAAAGTTACATTTTCCCTCTGAACCACGCCTCTTGGCAGTTGAGAACGGGACAAAATAACAAAAAAGAATATTTTCTAACAATTTGCCATAGGAAATGTATCTCTATACATGTGGACTTTTCGCAGGACCGGTGACCGAAGCTGCGTCAGAAAACAGAATGCAAGCATTTCTTGTCTCTCTCTGATTCAATACATAGTCGTCCGGGAGAAACAAGGACAAATGACAACTTTTTCATACACGGCCCCAGCCGGTCCTCGGCCTCGACCCGGCGGGGAAATGCGCGCTAAATTTTGAAAAGACCGCTGCTCTAGCAGCCTTGAGTCTCAAGCCCGAGAAGAAAAGGTCTGGTGGCGTAATATCGAACAGTCGGGTAAACTCAGCTTGGCCGGCGATCATAGAGTTTGAAAGGGGTGTCGACCCGCATCGCACACTTGTTTATCTCACCCGCATCGACACGACACTCACAGTACCGGTACCTTCTCCGCGGGCATCTCTACTCGTGAAAAGACTCTGAGACAGTAGGTTTATGGGTTAATTTATCTTTGCCCTCACATGAGAGATGTCAATTCTTTCAATTTATTGGTTTTTGACGTATCAATAATATTCTACACAAAAAAAACGAACATTAACTGAATTAATTTAAAAAATATTTTTTATGCAGGTAAACTTTTTAGTTATGAATGGATATTGGATGAAGTAGCGCCGTATATTTTTATTTTTTTTCATTTTAAAGTTTCTTAATGTTCCTTGGAGGACTCGACGCACGCGTCCCCGGCGCCCTCGTCCACGAAGATGACGGGGTTCCTCTCCACGATGGCGATGTCCCGCTCCAGCTGGCGCAGCTCCTGCTCCAGGGACTCCTTGCGCTTCATCTTGGGGATGGTGTCGGTCAGCATCGGCAGCCCCTGGAAGATGGTCTGCAGCTCCTGCCAGTTCTGCTTCAGTCCCTGCGAGAGGAGTACGAGGAGACCGTTATAGCGAGGCGGGACGGGGTTGTCACTGAGCATGTTCAAGAACACGTGTGTGAGTATGTCGCACCCCGATGAGCGAGAGGCGCTCCTCCTCGCTGATGTGCCGCAGGAGCGGCTTGACGCTCTCGCGCCGCCGCTCCGCCTCCTGGCGCGCCTCCTCCTCCTGCTGCAGCCGCCGACAGAGGTACTCGGGCACCTTGCCGTAGTCCTGGAACCGAGCACCGGGCAGTTTTATTTAGTTTGCCAGTATCACGCGACCATATAAGGCGCATTCCCCCCTTTTCGGATTCGCGCCGCTACGGCCAGGACGAGAGCTCGAATCACCTGCCGCTCTCATTCGCCGCCGGCGTTGGAACCACCGGGGTCCTGCTTGGTCTTGTTGAGCTGCGCGAAGTCCTGGTGGAGCATGGACAAAGTCTACAAGCGCTCTACGTGTCGTTGTGGGACCGGGGTGGTGGTGCTTGGGTACTATGTGGGCTGGGCTAAACGGGAGCTGGTAACTACAGGCGAGAGGGAAAGAGCCCCCTGTGTCGTCTCACCTTTCTGAAGATGTACTTGGGCTCGAGACCGGAGGTCTCCATGAGCAGCGTGCTGCCCCTGCGCGTGTCCACGGCGCGGGCCGGCGGCTGGCGGGGCACGGCGCGCACCGCGTTCTGGATGTTGATCTTGGTGTAGTCCTTGGGCTCCCCCAGCGGCGCCTTGCGGCCCCGCGCCTCGTCGTACACGGTGCGCGCAGGCGCCTTGGGTCGCGCCTCGGGCCGCCCCAGCACCGTGGGGTAGTCGGGGTGGGTGTCTGCGAAGTGTTCACACTTTAGAGCTCCTCACGCTCACTCTTCGCGCCGTACCAGCGGGTGCGGCAGTACTCACCTATTTTCGGACGGAGTTTGAAGTACGCGTTCTTCTTGAGGAAGTTGTTTGGGGGGTCGACGGGCACCTCCGCATACCCCATTGTGCCGTGGTCCTTCTTGGCCTTGTAAAACTCGTGGCGCACCAGGTAGTGGAACTTGGACTGGTACTTGGGGACGCGCTCCTCCGTGGGCATGGGCCTGCGGACTAGATTGTAGATGGTCTCGTTGTGGTCGCGGATGTTGATGGTGGACATGGTGACGGACGCGGACGCGGCGCGGCCCGCGGGCAGCGCGCTACGCGGCTCTCCAAACTAATCCAGCGAGGTCTAAACCCCGCGGCTGCCAGCGCCCTGGCGATAGCGCGGCGCCTCCCCCGCCGCCCAGCCGCTGCCTAGCAACCCGCGAGTCGGCGCCAAGCAGTGCCAAGCAAGCCGTGGCGGCCGTGGCTCTGGCGATTACAGGGCGCTAGGGCCGCGGGGGGCACGGCACCCTCGGACCCGCGGGTCACTACGACGGGGATTCGACACGGCGCACACCCACGCGCCAAACTCACGCTTCCTAGGTCGTCTCTCCGCGCCGAGGGCGGGGCCGTCGGACCCATCCTGCCGCGAGCCCTGCGCGCCGGAGGCCGCCGTCACCCGAGACTTGCCCGGGGAAGTCCCCCTGTAGCGGCCGAGCCCCATGGAGGACGAGGAGGTGGTCATGTTCAAGGCGGAGCCGGAGCGCCGAGGGGACAGGCCAGAGCCGTCGCGTTCCTGTCGTAACATTTATTTCAATTATTTCCTGTCTTGGCGGTAAATGGTAGCGGGGTGTCGGCGTCGTTGGCGTAAGGGTAGGAACCCCTTTCCAGACTCACTGCCGGAATCCTGACACTGGCGTCGTCGCCCCGGAACGAGACCTGCGCGGGGAGAGCGTCGCCGATCACCGCACACCGACAGCAAAACACAAATCTGACGAGGTAACGAGATGAAACTTACTTGCAGGTCGCCGGACCGAGATCGAGTACCAAGGCGAGACCCCGCGGAGCCCGAACCAGCAGCCCCTGGTGAAGGAGAACGGCTAGCGCCGAGGCGGCTACCCTGCGAAGAATTTTATAGTCTCATAAAACGCAGAGAAATATCAATAAAAAGCATACTGTGAACTGTTCACGAAACGTCAATTGGAAATAAAGCAACCCCTTCCCGTCCTTACCGCCCCCGTCGAGCCGCCTGGCGACGGAGAGCGGCCCTCTGGGCTCCGCCCGGCGCTCCTCGGAGTGGACCTGCCGGACTGCTGCTCCCTCGTCTGGCGGGCGTAATCCCGGGCGTACGTCCTCTGGCTCAGCAGGTCGGGGCTGGCCTTCGTGCTCGCGTTCCAAGGGGGGCGCCCGCTGGATTTGGACGAGTTGATGCTCGTGGGTTCTGGTTCGGGCTCGGGTTCAACTTCGGGTTCAGGTTCAGGCTCTTCCGGTTCGGGCTCGGGCTCCGGAGGAGGTGGTGGTGGCCGCGGTGGGGGCTGATACGGTTGGGGCACTGGTTGCGACTGGGGCGGTTGCGGCGGGGGAGGCGACACTGTAGTTCGTGACCGCACCGGAAGTGGCCCCGTCCGTCCTACAACAAGAGCTCGAGTCGGGCTGGGGTAGGGCGCGGGCGGGGCACCCAACACAAGAGGCTCACCGGCGGCCTCGAGGCCCGCGATGAGCGCCCTGCTGTCCACCATGGACGTGGGGAACACGACGGTGTTGGGCGCGCAGGCGCTCTCGGGCGGCGGGGGCTGGGTCTCGCGCTGCGGCGAGGGCGCCCGCGGCACGGCCGGCGCCGCACCCTCCTCCGCGCTGTGGCCCATGGGGTAGACGGGGATGGTGCGCCCCCGGGTCGAGATGCCGCACACGATGGACCGCTGCAACTAAACGCGGGTCGGGGGCGCGGGCCAGGTGGCCGTCAGCACAGAGCGTGTTGCGGGCGGGGCCGGCAGGCGAGGACGGGGGCTGCCCACCGGCTGGGCCTTGTTGGCGTGGATCTCCATGTTGGTGCGGATGCTCCTCGCGGAGATGGCGGAGCGGTGCGAGTGGTGCGACCGGTTCGGTGAGCGGGATGGTGAGCGGGCGGGCGAGCGAACGGGCGAGAGGACACCCCCATCCGGAGACTGAGCCGAAGTGCTGTCGTCTACCTGCAGTTTACAGGAGACACCGGGGGGATGCCAATCATCAATTGGCAGTAAGGGACCAAAAGCTTGGCGCACTGAACGTGTTCACGTACCGCCGGAGGCGCGGGCTTGGACACTGGACTCCCCACCGCACCCCTCTCCGACAAGCCGCCGTCCTCCTCGACGGCACCCTCGTCCTCGAAAGTCTGTAAAATGGCTGCGCCCTCTACATCATCAGGGTCTTCGGGGACGGGATCCTCGATGCCGGAGTCGTTAAGGGCGTCATCTTCCGTTATTTCTGGAGGTCGATCCTCGTAGTCCGCGTCCTGGAGGCTCGGCTCTGCGTCTGCGGGGTCCGAGCTGGCGCTGACGGTGTCGTCCGGTGGCTGGAGAAGAACACAGCGGTTGTAAGACTCTCCTTCCAGCAGCAGCACTACTGCACCGGGTGTACCGGGTGGCTTGCCTACCGCTGTCGAGCGAGGCGCAGGGGGCTGGTCGGCGCTGGCCCTCCGCCGCGGAGCCGCGGCCGGGCTGCCGGGGCGACTTTGGTTATGTTCGGCCGTCCCCACGGACACGCACATCCTCACGGAGTGGTGTGGGGCGGAGCGTGAGGATCGCTGCGGTACGATCCGCGAAGCGGCGGCGGGCCTGGGCCCGGTCCAGGGCACGGCCTCGGCGCAGTGCACCTCGTCGCTGTCCCCCTCGATCCAGCTCTGGCTCCTGCTGCAGGACGAGGCGCGTTCGCTGCAGTCCGTGGCATCGCCGCGCATGGCCAGGGCTAGGGCTGGACGGACTCACTAGGGTCCCAGGGCGGCGCGGCGTGTCGGGCTGAAGTGCGGCGGGCTGGCCTGCTCCAGGGCGGCCAGGGCGGCCTCCACGCTGTCCGCCCGGCAGCACGCCGCCTGGCACGGCGCGTCCTCCGAGACGGCCTCCTCCAGGGTCGCGGCCATGGCCGCGCCCATGGCTCCGCTCATGGCGGCCGCCACCTGGACGAACGCGGCCACCATGGCCGAGGACACGGCGGCCGAGCTCCTCTGGGGCCTGCTGCCGGCGGGGGCGGGCTCGGCCTCCTCCGCCGGCTCCAGCAGGCAGCGCTTGTGCTCCACCTCGTTGGCGGCCTCCTCGTCGTGCTCGTTGCGGATGGTGATGAGCAGCCCCTCGTCCGACTCGAAGGTGTCCTCGCGCTGGCGGCCCGACGAGTTGCTCGAGCTGTCTGGGCACGTGCTGTCCGTGTCCTGCGAGCTGCGGACACCAGTGGCCATTTCAATGGCCGTTCCCACAAGAAGCCCGGTGATTCTCTCCACGTTCTGATACCTTTGCAGTGCGTCGGCGTCCGGAGACTCGAGCGAGCGCGAGGAGGCGGCCGTGGAGGACCCACAGGACACGTCGATGTCCTCGCTCTTGTGCACGCCGGGCGCGTCCTGCAGACTCCGCACGTCCCTGGGCGCCCAGCTGGCCGGCGCCCCCGCCACATCTTTGCCACCCTGCACGTCCAGGAAGCTCTGCCGGAGCAGGTCTCGCAGCGACTTGAGATCGGTGGGCCCCACCCCCACCGCAGACTGCCCCTTCTTGGCTTGCTCGTACTTGAGCTTGGCGGCGGCACGGTAGTCTGCGATGTCTCGGACGGTCCCTCCCAACGCCCCACCCACGGGCTCCTGCTGCCGGCCGCCAGGAGCAGACTCCGAGTGCACCACGAGAGCAGTAGACTCTTCATCGTCGCCTGGGTGCTCTACAGCGCCGCTCGCTAAGAGGACTGGAGATTCCAAGAGCTCCTCTGGGCGCTCTTTAGATGTGACGGATTGAGGTGAAATTTCACGAGGCGCCTCATCGCCGATCTCATCTGCACGCTCATTAGTCGGCGATCCTTGCGGAACCTCATAGTCGGTCACATCTTCAGGGAGCTCTTGAGGCGGCACAGGTAGGTTGGATAAAAGCTCTTCTGTAGATTCCACGGCTAACGCGTCAGGGACATCATTTAAAGATTCGGGTGTAAACTGTTCTTGGGGTGTCGAGATTTCTTCGATCTCGGATGGCACAGTTTGATGTTCCTGACGTGGAGCACCGAATACGAAACCATCTTGTAGCTCTAATTGCCAGAACTCAAGCGGATTTTCGACTGCTTCATCATCCGGCACTGTCGGTGTTTTATCGGGGGGAGGAACGTTTGGGATGCTGGGGCAATGGAATTCTTCGTAAGACGAGGACGCCTTTTTCGAGACGGCCCTTGAGGCCGTCCTGGGGGATGATCGAAAGTCTGTTCCGGAGACTGTTCTGGATGCCCTCTTCGACGCGATTCTTGAGGCTGCTCTGGAGGCCGTCTTGAAGTCCGTCCCTGAGGCCGTCCTCGAGGCGACGTGCGCCGCCACCGGCCCCGGTTCGCTGTCGATGGTGGCGAGTGGCCTGCCGAGGCACTGGCTCTGACTCCGGCTCAGCGGGCTGCCGATGGTCGTGGAGGCCGCGTCTGCAGAGATCGTCACAGAGGCCGAACTAGTCGCGCTCGACCCTTGGCTGTGGCTGGTTCCGGGCCCCGGGCTCTTGGGGTTGTCGCCGTACAGGATCTGCGTTCGCCACGAGGGCGACCTGTCCCTGCCGACGAGGATCTTTCTCCTGAGGTTCGGTGGCTCCACGGGGTGCACGGAGGGCTTGAATGTCGCGAGCTCACGACGGTACTTGCTGAAGAAAAAAAAGTCAAACCATTAATTAAACCTCGGACAGTTAACTTTTAGAGAGAGTCGCAGGCGTGGTTTAAGACGTCGAATCGATGTAAATAAAATGTTCGGGGGTGGGGGGGTCGTCTCCCCTTGTCGTCTCTAGTGAGCCATCTGACAGGAAATTTGTAGTACAAAGCCCCTGTTGTTTGTAACCCACGTTGCATCGCCAGACTTTAAACCGCGCCTGAACGGTCGCCGCGAGTACCTGCGACGTCCACTGCGGCCGCTGGATGCTGTGGACCTGCTACCGGAGTTCTTGGAGGAGGCGAAGCTGTTGCTCTCCACGACCAGGCTGGCGGCGCTCACCGGCGGCATAAGGGGCTCCTGGGTGCTCACCGAGCCGTCGGCGCCGTCCTCCACGCCGTGCATGACTTTGGAAGAGTGGACGCGGATGCGCACCTTCCCTTGGAGGTCACTGCTGTCCTCGGGCAGAGAGGACCGCTTTGAGGAGAGCGGGGTGGAGTAGGGCACGGCGGGCGGGGAGGCAAGCGGTCCGGAGGACTGTGGCGGGACTGTCGGGACGGGCAGCGGCGAGGATGGGCGCGAAGTCTTGGGGGAGGCGCCGAGCGATGCGTGAGGTAGAGGGGATGGAGGCCGGGAGGACCGGGGCGAGGAAAGGCCCCGGCATGGCCGCGGGGAGGAGGGTCGCGACCGGGACCGGGACCGTGACCGCGACCGCGAGGGGGAAGCGCCGGCCAGGTCCGCGCTCGGCGGGGTGGGCAGCGGGATGGCCAGGGGGACGGTCCGCTGCCGCGGCACCGCCTCCCGGCTCTCCTGCGCCGAGGTGTTGCCCGACAGGCAGCACAGCAGCGCCAGCCCCTTGTCCCTGGGCCTGCCGCCGTGCCCGTGCCCCTCCGCGCACGCCGCCGACTTGAGCCAAAGATCAATGCGCAGCGCAGCGTTAGGGGTGCGAGAGCCTCGCGAGGGCGGGCGCCGGATAGGCAGCGTGCCGCGGAGGCGTGCGCCGCGGGTCTGCCTACAGCGAGGTTCGCAGGCGTCAGTGACACTCACCCCGGCACTGCCCGGCCTGCAGTCGGGGTCGGTGCCGACGTCCAGCCGGGCCGGAGTGTGGTCCTGCGCGCGGCATGGCACTTGTACGAGTCTTTATTGCATTGTACATGTGTGTGTTTGTTTTTGAATCGGGACGCGAAGCGCGCGCAGCTGATTCCTCGACGTTGAAGACGTCGTGAACACGGCCCACGCTCCGCTCCACTCACATCCATGGTGTCGAGGGTCGGGGACGCGTGGGGGGCCTCACGTGCGGGGGCCCGGCGGGG